ATCCTATCCTATCTATCTATCTATCTATATCCTATCTATCTATCTATATATCTATCTATCTATCTATCTATCTATCTATATCTATCTATTATCTATATATCCATCCATCTATCTTTTTTTGCTTTTATTGTGATTACAAGGTGGCTAACAAGCCCCCTATGTGATAGCATGGGCAGGTGAAAGGTACTCTTTATGGAGACATTGGGGTCTATTGGCGCCACAATTTCTCCCCTGGTCTCCTATGTAGCTACTCAAGTGGAGATTGTGCTTGAATAGTTGCATCCTTGGCTACACTAGCTGAGGAATGACAGCTGTGACTATGGAAGTAACATTCTACACGTCGCACCCAGGGTCATTAATTGCAGGTGGGATTGGGGAACAGATTTTTTTCCCTGCATTCCTCCTGCTCTCATTGGTGCAAGCTGTTTCCTGCAGTCCTTGGCTCCCAAGCAGAACAGGAGAGCCCGGGAACCATGGTGGCCGCTGTTGGTGGGGGGTGGTTGAGCACACCTCGACAGCCCCATAAAAAGAATTTGGCGGCTCTATTGGAGCCCTTTGCTGGCTGTTAAAGCTGGAACCAACCTCAAAGCTGTAACAGCAGTAGTTGGCTTGATTTAATCACTTGTCTACCATGCTGTTTTTAAATGTACCTTGGCAGACAAGTGGTAAATCCTAGGGATGCACTAATACACTGGCAGCCACAACGTATCGGCCGAAAATAGTGTTATCAGCATTTTGCCAATAGGAAAAAAAGGTGCCAATAATGGGGCTGAAAATGGCTTCTCTGTTTTTAATATAAAAGAAACGTGGCAAGGCAACTCACATTCAAAGTCATGTACCATTGACTTTCATGCAAAGTCGCGTCCTATAGACTTTCATGCGAAACCCCCCCCCCCCCCCCTTCCCTCCCCAGTGCCATCAATGTAAAATCGTGTCTCACAGACTTGATTGCAAAATTGTGTCCCATAAACTTCAGTGCAAAAATGTCACCTAGTGACTTCAATGCAAAGTTGCGTCCTATAGGTTTTAGTTCAAAATTGTGTCCCATAGACTTCAATGCAAAGATGTCCCCCTAGTAACTTCAATGCAAAATCGAGTCCCATAGGTTTCAATGCAAAATTGCATCCCATAGACTTCAATGCAAATTCGAATCCCATAGATTTCACTGCAAAATCGTGTCCTATTGACTTGTGTCAAATTGTGTTCTATTGAAAAATGCATCATAGAGACTTCAATTAAAAAATTCCAGCCACATTAACTACATTTTTTTTTTCAATTTTAAAAACTGTCTGTTTCGGTTTCGGTTTTCAGCCAAGTGAATTCTGAATTTTCGGTTTCAGGTTCGTCAACAGAATTTTCATTTCAGTGCACCACTAGTACATCCATATGCCTATGGCCATTGCATTTCTGCATGCAGGGATCTATGCCTGTAAACATGCGCAGATCATGTCATGACGTAAACCTGCACACAGCTAATCATTACTACAGTCATCTATATGTGGCAGCTGGAGGTCAAAGCACATCATTCTGAATGCATCGCATGCCAATGGGGAAGTGTCTGTTTTTATTCTGCAAGGTGTAAATCCGGATATTTATTTTAAAGCATTGAGAGACCAGGAAGCTTGAGAAGAAAGAGTTAACCGGGAGCCCCATGGTGTCCCTGTGCAGGATGAGGTGGAAGCCAGGCCAGGGCCGAGCTGCGGTTTCACAGTACACTCTCCAGCTGTGAAAGGACACATCCCCAGCGCTGATTGGAACCAGCCGCCTCCAGGCAGCACGTCAGTGAATGCGAACACATTGCAGTCCTTAGTAAGGCCGCATGCTGCTTCCCTACAACACACAGCATGGTCAGAGCCAGGCCGGGACAGATCCCCACAAACGTTGGAGCCACTATGATGTCCCATGACCAGGGCAGGTGGGACCCCATCTTCATGGTGCATTTAAAGGGCCACAGCACCTGACCACAGACATTACAGACAATGGCCTGGAGCAGGAGTATTGAGCTGAAACTCATGGAGGTCCCATCAGTAAACGTTTCTTCCAGCCGAGGTCCAAATTGCATGTTTGTGAGAAGTCTCAGATCCTTCACATCACAGCCCCCTGATTTTATATCACACACATCACAGTCCCCCCCACATCACAGTCCCCCCCCCACATCACAGTCCCCTGATTTTATATCACACACATCACAGTCCCCCACACATCACAGCCCCCTGATTTTATATCACACACATCACAGTCCCCCCCCCCCATCACAGTCCCCCCCCCATCACAGTCCCCCCCCACATCACAGTCCCCGCACATCACAGCCCCCTGATTTTATATCACACACATCACAGTCCCCCCCACATCACAGTCCCCCCCACATCACAGTCCCCCCCACATCACAGCACCCTGATTTTATATATCACACACATCACAGTCCCCCACACATCACAGTCCGCGCACATCACAGCAGTCCCCCCCACATCACAGTCTCCCCCACATCACAGTCCCCCCACATCACAGTCCCCCGCACATCACAGTCCCCCGCACATCACAATCCCCCGCACATCACAGTCCCCCGCACATCACTGTCCACCGCACAGCACTGCCCCCCTTTACATCAAGCCACCCCCAAAAGCACTGCCCCCTTTAAATCACCCCCAAAGCACTGCCCCCCTTTACATCATCCCTCAAAGCACTGCCCCCCTTCACATCACCTCCCAAAGCACTGCTCCCCTTTACATCACCCCCCAAAGCACTGCCCCCCCTTTACATCACCCCCCAAAGCACTGCCCCCCTTTACATCACCCCCCAAAGCACTGCCACCATTTACATCACCCCCAAAGCACTGCTCCCCTTTACATCACCCCCCAAAGCACTGCCACCATTTACACCACCCCCCAAAGCACTGCCCCCCTGTGATGATCTGGCCAGAAACACACCTCCTGTATAAGGCTACGTTCACACTAGCCTTGTTAGCAAGCGGCAGACAGGCGTTTGGGAAGCGCTTTTACTGTTTTCCAAATGCCTCGGAAAATCCTGCACATTGCAGCACGTAGTGCTGTTCAAACGGGAGCATTAGGAGGAGTTGAAGCCTCCCATTCAAGTCTATGGTGCCACTCCGCAAACGCCCGGCCGGCGTTTGCGGTGCAGTTCAAACTTCATTATAGGCGTTTGTGGGGCATTTTTAACGCTTGGCTAACGCCTAGCAACCGCCGCTAAACCACGCATGCGGCATTTGCAGAGTGTTAAAAACGCTCCACAAACGCCGGACCAACGCTTGTCAAACGCTATAGGGGCATTTGGCAAGAGCTGGAAAAAAGTCAAGTGTGAATGAGCCCTAAGAGTGCCCCTACTCTGGATGAAGGAGCACGGGGAGCACAGCAGACAGTCTTGTCAATCTGGGGGGAGGAGAGTGCAAGATGCATTTGCAGATTTAAATACACTAACAAACTGAAGCCAAACTCCAGCTCACACTTTATAATCAGTTGCAGCTAACAGTTTTTTTTTCCTTATGGGATGAAGGTTTTACATAAATAAATAAAAGATTATTATTTTTTTATAACCCTTGCCAGTGTTAAACGGTTTGACTCATTCCTGTAAACTGTTACAGCGTGTGCTTTTGAAAACAGCAGACTTACTGGCTGGATCATCAGAAAAAAAGAAAAGGACTGCAGCCATCACATCTAAGAATCGGTAAGCTACAATACAATAAATGTCTGCTTTTGGGTTTAACACGTCTTTAGTCTCAGGTTCCATAAGGTACAAATTACACCGTTAAAGGAAAAAGATGTGGCAAAGACTTTCAGCTCTACAGGAAGAGGGAGAAAGGAGGCGATTACAGGAGACTCAGGGGATGTGCAACACATGGGACAAAAAAGAGAGAACCTAATTGACCGTAAACACTGAAGGACATCTAAGCCGGCCATAAATGGATTGAAAATCAGCCAGTTCAGCAGGTAGCAGACGAATTTCAAACCATGTGTGTAGGAGCTGGTTGTACAGAAGTCGACTTACCGACTGATTTCTATACAACCAGCCTGTCAGGTTCTTCCAGATCAATCACTTCCGCCGGCTATAGACGGCAGGACTGATCATCCATTCTGGAAGAAAAGCACAGTGGGAATGTGTAGATGTGGGAACTGGATCATTTTTTCTTTCGATTCCCTGGTTGAAAAAAAAAATGAAGAATGTATGGCCAGCCTTAGTTTGCATTTTGTACTGTGTGTCATAAACACCCTCCCCACCCCCCTTGTCCCCACTGGACCTACCTCTTTGGATCAGCTGTCAGTGCCCACACAGTCCGTGTTGCAGACCAGGGATTTGAAATCTCTGCTCTTCTTACTGCAGGGCTTCTGGATTGGATCAGAGCAATTTCGATTGGTCAGTGCCGGCACAGAGAATCGCTCTGTTCCATCCTGCAAGCCCTTCAGAAAGAAGAGGGAGAAGAGCAGAGATTTCAAATCTCCAGACCGCCACACCGGCCTCATGGATACTGACCGCTCATCACCCACAGAGGTAAGTACAGTGGGGAGGAGGTAAGTAGGGCAGGAGGATGGTGTACGGTGTTAGTTCAGCTTTTCATTTTTTCCCAAAAAGGTGAGCTAATCCTTTAGCCCGGATTCATACTGATGCAGTGCGGAATTCGCACCGGTTTCTGTGCAATTTATGCACCACATCATGTTTGCACCCTGTTCATGCGAACTACTGCGGGTGTGTATGCTAAGTTAACAACATCCCGAAAACACGGTGCGATGTGCAGAATCAGATTGCATGGGTGTGAATACCCATGTGATCTGATTCTGGTACGGACAAAAAAAGGGTCCTGCACTATTTTGGTGCAGATGAGTCGCAATCTGAGCCATACACCGCACCGCACAGAAATCGCATGTGATTTGCACAGGAATGCAGTGCGGTTCCTTATCGAATCATATGCGATGTACCACGCTGCATCAGTATGAACCCGGGCTTAAAGTGTTACTAAACCACAGACCCTGCATTCACTATATCCGGTCTCCCCGGACCCGGCATTCACTATATCTGCTCTCCCCGGACCCTGCATTCACTATATCTGGTCTCCCAGGACCCTGCATTCACTATATTCCGGTCTCCTCGGACCCTGCATTCCCTATATTTGGTCCTCCAGGACCCTGCATTCATTATATCTGGTCTCCCCGGACCCTGCATTCACTATATCTGGTCTCCACGGACCCTGCATTCACTATATCTGGTCTCCCCGGACCCTGCATTCACTATATCTGGTCTCCACGGACCCTGCATTCACTATATCTGGTCTCCCAAACCCTGCATTCACTATATGTGGTCTCCCTGGTCCCTGAATTCATTATATCTGCTCTCCCCGGACACTGCATTCATTATATCTGGTCTCCCCGGACCCTGCATTCACTATATCTGGTCTCCCCAAACCCTGCATTCACTATATCTGGTCTCTCCGGACCCTGTATTTACTATATGTGGTCTCTCCAGACCCTGCATTCACTATATCCGCTCTCCCCGGACCCGGCATTCACTATATCCGGTCTCCCGGGTCCTGCATTCACTATATCTGGTCTCCCCGGGTCCTGCATTCACTATATCTGGTCTCCCCGGACCCTGCATTCACTATATCTGGTTTCTCAGGACCCTGCATTCACTATATCTGGTCTCCCCGAACCCCATATTCACTATATCTGGTCTCCCCAAACCCTGCATTCACTATATCTGGTCTCCCCCCTGGACCCTGCATTCATTATATCTGGTCTCCCTGGACCCTGCATTCACTATATCTGGTCTCTCAGGACCCTGCATTCACTATATCTGGTCTCCCCGAACCCCGTATTCACTATATCTGGTCTCCCCGAACCCTGCATTCACTATATCTGGTCTCCCCGGACCCTTCATTCACTATATCTGATCTCCCCAGACCCTGCATTCACTATATCTTGTCTCCCCGGACTCTGCATTCACTATATCTGGTCTCCCAGGACTCTGCATTCACTATATCTGGTCTCCCAGGACCCTGCATTCACTATATCTGATCTCCCCAGACCCTGCATTCACTATATCTAGTCTCCCCGGACTCTGCATTCACTATATCTGGTCTCCCAGGACTCTGCATTCATTATATCTGGTCTCCCTGGACCCTTCATTCACTATATCTGGTCTCCCAGGACCCTGCATTCACTATATCTAGTCTCCCCGGACTCTGCATTCACTATATCTGGTCTCCCCAGACCCTGCATTCATTATATCTGGTCTCCCTGGACCCTTCATTCACTATATCTGATCTCCCCAGACCCTGCATTCACTATATCTAGTCTCCCCGGACTCTGCATTCACTATATCTGGTCTCCCAGGACTCTGCATTCACTATATCTGGTCTCCCAGGACCCTGCATTCACTATATCTGATCTCCCCAGACCCTGCATTCACTATATCTAGTCTCCCCGGACTCTGCATTCACTATATCCGGTCTCCCAGGACTCTGCATTCATTATATCTGGTCTCCCTGGACCCTTCATTCACTATATCTGGTCTCCCAGGACCCTGCATTCACTATATCTAGTCTCCCCGGACTCTGCATTCACTATATCTGGTCTCCCAGGACCCTGCATTCACTATATCTAGTCTCCCCGGACTCTGCATTCACTATATCTGGTCTCCCCAGACCCTGCATTCACTATATCTGGTCTCCCCAGACCCTGCATTCATAGCAGTCTTATGATTTATATCAGTGTCCAGCAGAGCACATGTTAAAGCTTATAGGAGTAGTTTTCTTTCTGCTCTAGGAGGATGCAGGACCCCTGACCTCTGTCTGGACAGTGATGATTGGCTCTGTGCTGATCACATGCATCTTCATCCTTTGTTGCATCCTAAGGCTACTGGTCTTCTGCAGCCCCTTTGCAGCCACATCCTGCCTACACAAACCCCAGTGATACCTGCATGGCATTCCTCAAAGGTGGGTTTCCTGATGGTGACATGAATGCATAGTATGTGTTATAAGGACCACGTATAACCTCCTTTGATAGCCCATGTGGCAGGGTGACAACGCAGGCAACACAAGGATAGATCGCTGTCACCCCATACCAGAGCAAGGACCTTCATGGTGGGATCATTATTGTAGTCAGAGCTGCAGATTTAAAACTACTGAAAAAAGCTGTAGAAATGACATTCGCTTGCTATGGATTCTAGTGATCGGGATTACACCTCCTTTAGCCCTCTCGCTGCCAGAGCCGTTTTTGCATTTTTTGCACGTGTTTAAAAAATTATTTTAGGCCTGAAGATTACACAAATTCCCCCAAATATGATCTATTTTCTGAAAGCAGAGACCCTAGAGAATAAAATACTGATAGCTCCAATTTTTATGTCACACAATATTACAGCAACAGTCTAGGAAATGCAAAATTTAAGTAAAACAAAAGTGCACCAAAATGCAGTATAATATATTTCCCTTTAAATCCTATGGAACTGTTCACATCAGTGTGCGGTGGGTGCTGGGCGTTGTTTTTTTTACAGAAACATTTATTAAGGTTTGTCAGACAAATCAGAATTGATGATAGGACACTTGGCATGCGTGTACACGATACATGATACATGATACATGATACAACAGCAACGTTTCTTACAATATCCAACAATAGCAGTCAATAGACCAAAGGGCCATAAGGCTAGGTTCACAACTATGCAGTTTGTGTTTGATGCGTTTCTGTTTTTTGCAGTTTTTGATGCATTTTTTGCTTTTTTTATCAACTTGTTGCTGGGCAGATTAAAACGCAACAAAAATACATAAAAAAATGCACTACATGCATTTCTGTAGTGTGTCCACTGAAGGCTATTGGACCAAAAACACAATGTTTTGCGTTTTAAAAAGTCCCTTTCCAAAAAACACACCGAGTGAAAACGTGGAGATGTAAACCTGTCCCATAGGAAATCATGATAAATGGAGTGCTGTGCGTTTCTGTGCTTAGGTGCGTTTCTGCAAAATGCAATGGAGCAAAACGCTTAGGTGTGAACCTAGACTAAAGCATAGTGGGAATGGCAGAGCAGTGACACGCCAGGACATGGCAGAGCAGTGACACAGGACGCCAGGACATGGCAGATCAGTGACACGTCAGGACACGACGGAGCAGTGACACGTCAGAACACGACAGACTAGTGACACGTCAGGACACGACAGAGCAGTGACACGTCAGGACACGACAGATCAGTGACACGTCAGGACACGACAGAGCAGTGACACGTCAGGACACGACAGATCAGTGACACGTCAGGACACGACGGAGCAGTGACACGTCAGGACACGACGGAGCAGTGACACGTCAGGACAAGACGGAGCAGTGACACGTCAGGACACGACAGATCAGTGACACGTCAGGACACGACAGAGCAGTGACACGTCAGGACACGACAGAGCAGTGAAACGTCAGGACACGACAGTGAGCAGTGAGTGAACGTCAGGACACGACGGAGCAGTGACACGTAAGAACACGAAAGACAGCAGTGACACGTCAGGACAAGACAGAGCAGTGACACGTCAGGACACGACAGAGCAGTGACACGTCAGGACACGACGAGATCAGTGACACGTCAGGACACGACGGAGCAGTGACACGTCAGGACACGACGGAGCAGTGACACGTCAGGACAAGACGGAGCAGTGACACGTCAGGACACGACAGATCAGTGACACAGTCAGTGACACAGGACAAGACAGTGACACGTCAGGACAGAGCAGTGACACGTCAGGACACGACAGAGCAGTGAAACGTCAGGACACGACAGAGCAGTGAAACGTCAGGACACGACGGAGCAGCAGTGACACGTAAGCAGTGACACGAAAGAGCAGTGACACGTCAGGACAAGACAGAGCAGTGACACGTCAGGACACGACAGAGCAGTGACACGTCAGGACACGACAGATCAGTGACACGTCAGGACACGACAGATCAGTGACACGTCAGGACACGACAGAGCAGTGACACGTCAGGACAGGACAGAGCAGTGACACGTCAGGACAGGACAGAGCAGTGACATGTCAGGACATGAGTCATTTCTGCAGTCTGAGGCTGTCATTCACTTCACTGTATTGCGATGAGGCTCGGTGAGCTAGAACATCTGAGCAACTTATTTGGGAATCCTTCTGAAAACCATCCCATCCACAACAGCAGCTTGCTCAGCCTTGATCCGGTTCATGATAAGACTCCTCTGTACAGCCAGCTGTTTCAGGCCTACAAGTGGTCCAACAAGAAGCCCATCTAAGGTCCATCTCAGTACCCAGAGAGGGGATCTCCTGTCTGTACTCCCCCGGATACTGCATCCACCATACCATGTAAGGGACCTCTGGCTGTCTTGTATCAACTCTAAACCCTGGAATCGCCCGCTGTGACATCTACCCTTCAGAGGGAGGATTACCTTTCATCTGCTCTACCCTGATCCCATTAAGAAGACATCTGTAACCCATATATATATATATATATATATACACACATTAAAATTGTGCATCATTAAAATTGTGCATCTGGTGAGTGCGTTATTTTAATATTTCCATCTGCACGAGCACCAGAATACCTCTGAAGTAGTCACCTCCAGATCACGATTGTCACTTTTGGAACATTCAGATTTTATGATCATATACCCATGAACTTTAATTTTATTCTAGTTATCACAAAGGCAATTTATTATATGTATTATTTTTAGCGCTGCACTACGTTATTTTATTTCTGCACTCCTGCATGCTGCATCGCCCTGTTTCAAAAGCGCACCAAAAATGTAGCTCTCATTGAAATCAATGGGAAACCCATCAAAAAAACGCATTGCGGTTGTGTTTTTGGTGCCCTTTTTGAGTCACATGTCTATTTTCACAGGTGCATGCTGGGAGTCAGACTACCAGAAAACGCAGTAAAAACACAATATGTATGTTTCAAAAAACACATACTACGTTATTAACCGCACCAGTGTGATAGGACGCTAAACGACTCGCACAGACACCGGATATCAAACTGACAACATCCATGTGACAGGGAATTCACACGTTCTCATGTGATCTGAAGAGCACAACGATGAGTTAAACAGCCAGAAAGCACGACTTAATCCCCTCTTGATAAATTCTCAGTATTTGGATGAATTTAGGTTTTTCATTTTCCGCCCTTTGCTATGAGTATGCAGGGAAGTCGAGCATTTTAAAGCTGAACTTTAATCTGCTTATATTTTGCCTTCCCTGATTCCTCTCGTCACCCACCCCACCCCCACTCATCACCATGTTAACTAAATAATTGCAGAAAGTCTTTCTAGTTTCATTACATTCTTTGTTTTAGGCTTCAGTGACATCATCACTGGGTCTCTGTGCTCCTCTATGCAATGCAGGAAGATCACAGCTAGTGGGAGGGGTGCTGTACACAGCTTCCTGAAACTATCCCAGCACCCTGCCTCAGTACTGCTCTCAAGAGCCCTCAGCCCTGATGCACGCAGTGGGCTGGCTTCTGGGAGGAGAGACGCCGGGTGCCCTATGAAGATTCACACATGTGATGCTGAGCCTCTAGGACTGAAAGAACTGAAAGCCAATGAATGAAAAGGGGCGGGCCAAATCAAATATATTACAATTATATATTAAAAAAAATATATATTTTTAAAAAAATGAGTTTTGCCATATTTTGCTGCGTTTGTGCCACGTTTTGCATTTTTATTCCATCTGGCAACAAACAAAATTCCACTTTAACAAAAAAAAAGCTGAACAA